TTCTAGCGCGCCACTTGGAGGGCAGTTTCTCCAGGAACCGTAGTATATTTTAACAGCAAAATAAAGAGTAACAATTTTTTTTATTTCGTGCTACTTTTTTTTAATGCTAAAATTCCACACTGTGAATACACGTACTTTCCATTATAATTTCGTACTGTTCTGTCCTTTCCCCAGAGCACAATCGAATCTCGGGGAGGAGACAACCGACAGTCACACTGGCTTCTTTCAGTACGATATTAGCTTACCATTCAGACCAGCGTTCCAACATGACTATCCGCACGTCGATCGATTGCGCCTAATTCCTCAAGTGGTCTTAAACTCTTTAATGTAAAGTGGAATGTCAAACTGCGACACCCCGCCCCCTCCGATCACGGCCCGACCAGCGGCATCAATGCCCGACAGTTTACGTTATCTCATTGTGTTGTTACAGTACTAATACGCGAACACACGGTCACATCGGCGATAATTCCAGTCGTCTGTTCACAACGCACAACACTGCCATCACAATGTTGCTGCTGTTGCTGACACGCAGAAATACAGAGCCACGTTGATTGCCGGTTGACACTCGGCATCGGAAAACAGAACCGAACTCAGCACGGAAGGCAGCCGGCAGCAAAACCTGCCTGTCTTGGATGCAGTTCCTGCGATTTCCATAACATCGAAAAAGTCGACACAGCTCCGCGTGGTTCCGCTACTGTAGTTCCGCATGGATCCCGCAATCCGACGACTGCCATCTTACCCAGTGCACGTAGCGCTGCTGGCACTGCTCCGGAACTTCGCTGTTTCTAGCGGCTTTGTTTGCTCGTTTGATAAAATAAGTGATAAAAACGTCAGTGCAACCGAAATATTCTGCACGTTTGGACTACAAGACGGAATTACAGGCGGCCTTCGCTGCCGCTGAAGCTCAATCAAGTCAAAAACATTTATTAAACAATGTGCGCGACGTGCTCGAAAAACGAAACCGAAAGAAGATGAGTCGGGAGGGCGAAAGCTTTGTCCCGCCTGCCTGGAGAAGGAGAAAAACGTCTCGTTCCTCCCTTTTTCTCGTGTCGGCTTGGGGGCGCGTCAGTAGAAGGGAGGGAGACGAGCCGTTGCTGCCTTTTTCCTCCATGTCTTTTTAGAGCGTAGGCAGCAGACACGTTCTCAGGGCTCTCCTTGCACCTCGCGTAAGGATTTAGCTGATACCACACGCCATGCTATATAGAGCGTAAACACTGTCGCCATGTTAACATTTTCTAGGTTAACATGGCGACAGTGTTTACGCTCTATTGTATTTAGACGGGGCTTGAGCATTTGGGGATTCTGCTGTCTGTCGGTGCGCCCCTTTGTGCCTAATATTATCATACTACAGGTTTGACTTGAGCTAGTTGGTACATATTAATAGGGTAAGCTGAACAGTTAGTTACAAATAAGAAAAACCAAGATAGGAAAACAGATACACACCGCTGACTATCGACTTCCCTCCTTTAATACTTCGCCTTCCTCTTTTCTTTTTTCTACTGCAGCTAGGGATAAAAACCTATCCCCCATGTCCGGGCGCTGCACCTATTAGGATGCCAAGTGGCTCATGCCACACCTCAAGGGTTGTCTTTCTTTCGTTTGGACCGTGATAGACTGGGTGCTCACGCGCACTTGACCACATTTTTCAATGGCCGGGGCTTCAATTACTTTGCTTGCATATGCGTTCCGGTGTAGCCCTCGAGTGGTAATGTTGTTAATATTAGGAGTGCAATTGCAGGAGCGGCAGTTTGTGGAGAGATGTCCCGCCAATGTTCCTTTAACAAAAGCCGCGTGCTCCCTAGCTCGATCGTTCACCACACCGCCCAGCTTTCCCTATATAGCACCTGCTACAGGAAAGTGGTATGTGGTACACAACGCCCATTTGGCACGGGGTATACTGCGTCCTGTGAGCAATAGGGCATCGTTCCTTTTCTTGATTTGTTCTTTGATTAGTTCTGCGGCACATGGAGTACGCCTCGTTTGGTGCCGAGAACACAACCGAATATCATAAATTCCAGCAGTCATTTTAGGTTGTGCGTGAGTCCATGTACGCAGGGTATAACCGCAAAGTTTCTTCGATTTGTAGCTTTCGATGAAGCCACATTCCCTGCATGCTGGCATTTCGATTTCTGCCAAATGGTTTAAAAAACGGCCACCAGGAGAGACTCTGGATAACCAGACTCACGAAGACGCCTTATCTGGTTTTCACAACTTGGTTCTAGTTGATGGTGACATGACCTCTTTAGGGTGGAAATAAGAGCAGTTGTGGAAACACTCCTTTTGATGATTTTAGAATTCCCCGAGTTGTATGGAAGAAACCCGTGGCACGAGCGCGGCTCATATCTGCAGCATGCGTGGCCTTCTTCGAACTGAAACACCAGGTTAAGGAACCTGGCGGATTTTGCAGCGGGTAATTCATATGTGAAATCTGATTCGGAACAACATTCTTGGAAACACTGCAAAACTTTTGCTTTGCACCCACCCTCTTCTTCGTTCACTTCAGTGTTACACAGAATAACAAAAAATCATCCACATATCGGAAGGTGGCCTTGATCCTGCTATCTTTTAGTTTGCTTTCAATGATCTTGCCACAAGCTACCAAATTTACATCGCAGAGGTGACGAGCTATCCGAGATCCAATGCATACATCACTTCTCTGTAAATATGTATGGCCTTTATCTGAAAATACTGTAGCGGTCAGATAACGCCCTATAAGCACCAAAAAGGAATCATCGTTCACTCGCGTGAGGCCAACGAGTGGGATGGCGACTTCCACGACTGCTCAGTAAACAAGCAATATTTTGCTGGTTGAAGCGAACCATCTTATGCTTTACATCGAGCGGGGAAATGCGAAATAAATTGTATCAGCCATTTTGCCAGAACTAGCGAGGAGTGTGGTCTGATACTTCATTAACTAAAGCGCCATAATAGCGATCTTCGTGAGGAAATGATTCTTGCTAACCACAGAACACCATCACGGAGAAAGGAGCTGCTTTACTGCGTTTTTATTCTAGATACACGTCAGGGATATAATTCAGAGAGAAAGACTGAGATAGAGAGAAAGAAAGAAGAGCATATAGTGTCATTAGACAATAAGGTAAACAAAGTTCCCAGTGGCCGATGGCTGCAGGATCTTTTCTCGGATCACTAGTCCGTAATATGGTAGCTTTTTGTACACGGTAGTTTCTCCTCTCTTGTACTGTGTGAACGATTGATATAGTTATTAATGACCCCATTTGAATAGAAATATATGAAAGATGTGTGTTAGATTCAGGAAACTCGAACTCAGAGTCACTTCTCGTATATGACACTGTTAAGTACAGGCTTTGAAAAAGGACCCTACTTTGGGAAGTTATGTCTTCTTTCTCAATCAAATATTGGAGCCTGTTTTTTTTTATAGAAATGAATTCCGAAATAGAGTATGACAGGGTACTCAAATTAAAAAAATCGAAGCTGGTGTTTTTTTTTTTTATTTGCATCGAAATGTTTTGTCGTTTGATTTTTTTTCATGTTTGGCTAAATATATTACGGCTATCGTATCACTCAGATACAGCAATTTGACGTGTTGGGCTAGTTGGTTTAAAATGAACATCTTGGGAAGAACCAGCAGCAAACAAACTCGGCCAATAGTAAAGGAACAAACACGACACGACGGCGCTGAATTAACAACTGCTGTTCATTACACAAGGTTGGAAGGAAGAAAACAATAATCATCTTAATCGAATAAAATTATGTAGACACAGACAAACGTGCGAACCAACCAGCATATTATGTCGCGATAGGTCCAATAAGTGGCTACGTAATGCCCGTCATAGTCGATCGCAGGTACCCCAACTCTTTGTCAGATAGCGCCACTGACGATTCGCTGACGCATCTCCCGCCATGTTCTGAGACAAAAAAGGCCTCGATAATGTCACTTGTCACCTTGTCTCTATGTCTGTCCAAAACAGTGGCTTCACTAAAATTAGGCTGGCACATGCAGTCCCTGCAGTGTAAAGGTAGCGAAACCCCGACTGGTAGCCCTGAGTGAATACGAATGCTCCTTAAGTCTATCATTTAGGCATCGGCCCGTCTGTCCAACGTACACCTTGCCACAAGACGGGGGTATCTTATAGACCACGCCAGACACACAGGCCACAAACGGCACTGCGTGCTTTTGGTGCCTTGGTTTTTTAACAGCTTTCGGCAATAGCACCCACCTTTGCACGTATCTGACCCATTTTTTTGTGGGGCAGAGAATACAGTCTGGACACCATAGCGACCTGCGACCTGTTTCGGGTTATGGGAAACCTCATAAAGATAGGGGCGACCACGATTCATGTTTTTGTCGAATTCAGTCTTCCTCTCCCTCCCTTTAGCGTTTTTCAACAGGGAGCTAGCCTCTTCAAGTGAAAAGGGCTGATGGAAATTAGCCCTTTTGACTCAGATACCTAATATACGTATATTTTAAGTATCAGCCGTATATAAGTAGAATGCTATCAAAAATATATGGTGGGATTAAATTATTTCATGAGATACAGGCCTGCAAAGTTTGACATTTTTCGTTCGATCAGGCAAGTTTGGCATTTTTTAAGAAAAAAATTTAACTTAAATTAAATAAATATTATTACTATATCTAACAAGAAAGCTGTAGTCATAGTTTGTTTCCAAAAAGTATAGAAGTTTTCTAATTTTATCATTTTAGTTATTCACTGTCAAACCTGCCGCCTCCATCAGTGGGTGTTGATGCAACTGTTCACCAATCAATGCCTTCCGACTCTTCCTGTCTCCAACTTTTTTTCTGGTCAAAACTTGGTGTGAATTTGTTTATACCAGAAACTAGACAAGGGCATATAAAAACATCAGTTGATTTAAAGATGTCGACCAGCCACCCTTTGGTCGATCTTATCTGAAATCTGCCAGCTGTGTAATCTTGAACTTTACAATGGTTTTCGTCCTTCTAGTGGGGAAAACGCGCATATATCTCAAATACACAACATTAACGTATATGAGATACATACCGGTTAAGCGAGGAGAAGATGCGGAGTTTCGTTTTAAGTAGAAAATAATCAAAACCAATATGTCGGTTTTCATTTTACGACTTCTCTCGAGAGGAGCGTGCCTCGAAGTACGCTGTGAACTTTTTTTAAGCGAATATCTCCCAGTGAATTTCTTTTTCTTCTGATTTATCATTTTTAAATGTGGTTTCGCGTTTCTATTCGCACACCGTTTGTTGGGTGATAAGTCAGGAGCAAAAAAGCAAACATTGACTGCTGTGGTCAACATTTAACATTTAGGAAACGCCACATTGATTAAAAGAAGGGAAATACACAAGGAGTTGCAGCTCACAGCCTACGCAACCTATCACGTCAAGAAGCTTCCAACGTACGCACATCTCCCAGTTGTGAGATTCCGACAACGCAAAAAACCACTCTAACTACTTCCTGCTACTAAACAATAGGATTGGGATGTCATAATAATGAAGTAAGGAAGACAATGTCGCTTTTACGTGTGCTCTTAGCGCGAACTTAATTACCTTGAACTATTGTTACTTACATCTGTACTCTTTAGAAAACGAATGCTTTGGTTTCTAACTGTTTTTAAAAACCGTGAGTTAAATCCACGCGAATGTGAATTTTCTCACGGACAACCTGAAATTTACTTTAATACGGTTTTGTACAGAAGGCACTTATTTCCCAAAAAAGTGCATGGAATTTTTTTATAAATGTTTGATCAGTAATGATCGTGTCCCAACTCATAACACTTTTATTCCTTTCTTTAGCGTTGCGATTACCGCAGGAATGTTTCTATAGGTGCTATTCACATAACGTCATTTTCTAGGTGCGCTGGCATCGACCGCCACGGCCGCCATCTTCGAAGTCTCTTCCTCATCCCGCGTACACTCTTAGAAAAAAACGGGTATCGGTGGTCCTCCCTAAGGGGCGGAACGGTCTTGTAACTTATGTTGTTCTAGAAAGGAGGAAGCTTTCGCCCTTTAAGCAGGGGAACAAAGTTCCTCCGTCGCCATATACTCATTATGGCGGCCCCGAATCGAGCAAATTGAGCTCAATAAGGCTTAAAGGGGTGATGCGGCGATTTTTTGAGCTACCTCAACGAACTATATTTTCTGACTCCCCGGGCTTTACCCTTTCCGGTATGAAATATAGTATCGCGACATTCATAATAGTTACCGTCGAATCGGCAAATGAAAATGATGCGGAAACCAACATTCAAATATACCCGCACTTTTCAGTGCCGTGACGTCAGTGGCGGGCAGGCTTGCCAGTCGAGCGAGCAGTCTAAAAAATGGAATATGCCAATCATTTGTTCCGTGCTGCAGCGCGGGTTCTGGAGCGAGCTTCCAAAGCATTCATTTGACACCATGAAACTGCTTCGAATCAGTTGGGAACAAATTCTACAGTCCAAAGAGTGAACCACTCCACTTCCACTGACGTCACATTTTGTTGTTGCCAGTAGAGACTTTCGGTTTGGAAAACACGGTGAGGACCAAAATTGTAAATTCAATAACTTCGTGAAAAAAAGTTATTTACCTAATATTTGGAATACTACTTTAGCGATGTTGTTTGGCGAGTTTAGCAAAATTTCAAGCAAATCGGGGACCATGAAGAAATCGCCGGAGTACCCCTTTAACAGTGCCGCTTCGTGTCTTGTACGGGACGAGAGGAGAGGCAAATAAAAGTGTAACACGAGCTTTCCGCGAACTGTGTTTATTTCCGAGGTCAGCTTCCTACCGCAGGTAAAGACACTTGTGTTTCAAAAGCAGTTACTCAGTCTTCTCGTGAACAGCACTTCGATGTTGAACGGAGACACCGAATACCCAGTTATGTCAGGCACTTTACGTCTTACCTTTGCTATTCCTCGAGTCAATTCATTCGTCAACCGCATATCACGGAGGAATGGTAAACTAGTCCGCGATACCAAAAGCCGCTCTCAAAAGAACATACCCGAAACCGCTGTCGCACGGTAACCAGAAATTATCGTGTAGCGTGATAAAAGGTTAAATTGCTTGCCACCAGACGGCAGAGTCAAGCAGAGTAATTGCAAGTAGCTAGACTAGGTGGCGCTAGTTACCGCCCAATTCATGATCTACAAAAAATGTTTTTATCAATTAGGTGGACGACCTACGTCATGACTGCGTCGGATGTCACGTGCTCTAAGCTGGGCCTTCCCCGAGCGCTTGCCGAGAGGGGGCCGTCTATAACCAAAAATACAGCCGCCAGGCTCAAAATACAAACGAGCGATTGTCATTTACGAATATTGTGGATCATATTAAACCTATTTTTGAACACGACGGACGTATTTCAAATTTTGTTGAAGTATCCCTTTAACGGGCAAGTAAAACTCCCGAAAGCATGAGGTATCAGATGAGGAAAGGAGGAAGTACCAAAGATTATGCTAAATTCGTTCAGGCCGCAGCAGAGCACGAGCCGCGACGTGGATACATTACTAACAGAATTGTTCGTTATGCAAGGCTTGTTTGTTAAAATTCCTTATTCCCTTCTGGTCATTGTTTCAGTTAACGCCCAATTTATTACCTAAAAAAAGACACATTATTTTATTATGAGTCATACGGATACATTTTCTCGAAATTCTTTTGGCGTTGGAATTGACCGTTTTCCAGTAAGCTTCTGCGCATGCCTACACCCCCTCCCCTGGCTTTGCTTCCCGCTGTCGCCATTTTCGGAGGGCAAAGTTACGGCCAACCAACATATTTAGCACCTATCTTTTTGGTGGTGGTGGTGAACAACTTTTATTTGCAAGCAACCAGCAGTTGGCGGTAGCCCGTCCACACGCAGGTGGTGGTGACTAAGCGCGACGCGGCACGACCCCCTCGGCTATTCCCCTCCCACCAGCCCTCGGCCCCGGGCGCGCCCCTTTTCTCTCCGGGGCCGAGAGGGGGAGCCCATCGGACCTCCGCGAGCTCCCTCACCTCCCCCATCATCCCTTGCCCGTTGCCTATCTAGAGCGGTTGTGATCAGCCGGACGGCCCTATACGCTGAACCTCTAATTCACAGCTCCGCGCCGCGTGTTCGAACTGCGGGGGAATCGTCGTCTTCTCGCTTGCCTCTCTTGGCTTGAGTTCACACTCCCACAACAGGTACGACGCGGTGGCCCTCGCCTTCTTGCAAAGTCCACATGGGTCGTCCCCGTAAAGTCCTGGATATATGTGTTTAGCTAGCACCGGTGTTATTAGCGACCCTGTCTGTAATTGTCTAAAAATCACAGCCTCCTCACGTTTTAGCTCGGAATGAGGGGGAGGTACTACTTTCCTTCCTAACCTATACCACTTCACTATTTCGTTATACGTAGTTATGCGGTCCTTCGTACTAAACCACTCTCCACCACTTGAGACTGTCCCGTTTGTCGCCGCCCGGTTGGTGAGTCCTCGCGCTGCGACGTTGGCCGTCTCGTTGTGGTTGGGATTACCGTTCACCGACACTTCACTGCCCGTGTGGGCCGGGATCCACTTGACCACCACTGCACCATCACGATTACGTCCTGTCGTTGTGGCCGCTCGCAAAATGCGAGCCGCCGCACCACACACCCTACCCTTTGCAAAACTAAGCACTGCTGTCCTGGAATCACTGATCACCGTGTCGCAGCCTGGGTCGGCCACAGCTAGAGCTATGGCCACTTCCGCCTGATGCGAGTTGCGAACTTGGGTGCTGGCTGCAGCTCTGGTCGCTCCATTCGATGCGTTCACCACCACCGCCGTGTAGGCCTCTCCTCGGTTCTGGTATTCCGCCGCATCTACGTACACGTATTTCTTTTGCGTATTTTTCTTGCGGATTTCTTCTTTTTTTGCGTATTTCTTCTTTTTGGGCCATTGTTGTGTGATTGCAAGCCAGTCGGGGGCAGAAAAAGCAATTAAGTTCAATACAACCGCATGTTTCCAGTGTATTCTGTTCGTTTGTGGTTCGAAAACAACTCCGTAGACGGTGCTCGTTACTGAAAAGGGTGCATTAACGGGAGGGTGTACTTTTATTTTCAACGAGCCCAATTATTTCCTTGATAGTCTAGGCTTGAACTATTGTCACGACCCACTGATTACTCCAAAGTTAAGCTTTATTTGTGACAGAAAGGCTACAAATGGTAGATTGAGGACAGATGGTACGCCTTCCACTTGGAACCATGTAGTTTCGTCTGCTATTCCGCGCGGTTTTGACTAGGTGCTTTCTCAGATGCAATTTCCATTTGTTTACAATTCTGGTGATTCTTTTTCTAACATATGGAGATACGACTCGCGCTTTCCTTAGAGTAAGAACTTCGGCGGCAAAAGAGATTTATACCTCGTGTTGGCAGTAGATGGAGACAGTATGATAAATAAGTAAGGTTTACATATTAATAAATTACTTTCAAACTAGTAAAATTACTCGTGCAACTGCCTCGTTATAAATGTAAACAACCAATTACAGCCTTGCTCAACCTTGGTTTGAACTTATCTTTCTTAATTTTGTCTAACAACACTCATTTCCTCTAAGAATATAGCTTATATTCCGAATGGAGTTTGAAAGAGCGCAAGATCGGCATCTACTACTTGCCCAACGAACATGCTCACCTACCCAATAATATGCTGGCGATAGTCACAACAGCTAAGTCTAAGTCCCGCCAACTCGTTTCTTCAGTTTGTTGGGAGACAGCATTCGCCCTCTCTTTTGGTATTCACTCCAGACATAAGCATTGAGATTCACCCTGTCATCTCCTTTTTGCCAGTTGTTCAAGTTGATGTGCTATTTGTCCCAAAGAAAATGGACGAGGTTTTTAATTTTTATATTGCAAAAATAAACGACAGATTAGCTAATGCTGAGCCTCTACCGAAAATTATCGTTAGCAATCTAAACAAGATGCCAAAATTTGAGAATTAGTCGTTATCTTATTTAAAAGTTATGTGATTTCGTAAAAGTTCTGATGGAGAGACGGGATCTTTTTTTTTTGTAAGTGTCACCATTTAGCTCCATATATTCGTAGACAACGTCGGCTGCCATTTTCACATTGAAAATTCTAGAAAAGGAGTTACAACTTTTCAATAAGGAAACGGTTAATCCTGAAACTTTGACATTTAAATCGGGCCC